AGTCAGGAGCAGAACGATGTGATCGCTCGGCTCCGAAGCGAAAAGCTGAATATGCGCTGCACCTGCTGCCTACTTATACTCACGCTGTGATCAGCAGCAGCTGGATGCAATAATCGCATGCCAATGTGCATTGGCTCGTTTAGTTTACACTCGAAGTAGATTGGTCCCTCTAAGCGAGATCCCAATTTCGTCGGTCCTCCGACGTGACGTCGAGAGTGACCGACTGAAAGGGAACCTGGAATTCTCCTGTGCTGCACGTATGCTAACTGTTGGACCTATCGAGAGTGTTTTAAGTGACTTTTCTAAAAATTCACAAATCTACTGTAAATGTGCTCATAGTTAACACCCAAATGTGTTAACTTCACAAAAATATTGAGTTAAACATATAAATTTTTCTCCTAAGATTTTTTTTCCCTCACATTTTCCATCGACTCTATTTAAAAACCCTAAATAGCTACATTTTGAGATATGAGATAAAACAACTAAGGGATAAGTGAGGAGACAGAGTAATCCATCACATTAAGTTGTTCAGGCTAACTGTTTCTGCAAATAACACATGACAAGATGTAAATGAGTAAAACATGTGCAAAGAGGGATGACGATGAGCAGACAAAGTCTGAAAGGTGCTAATGATAAGATACATTCAGAATATTCACATAACCACCCACACACAGCTGTGCAGATATCACACATACACACGCACAATTTATTTCAAATCATTTTAGAGTTTTTAAATGGTGACATCTGTCCTGTTATGTGTTATTTTGTTTCCTTCCCACTGGAAAGTTTAAGTTTAACTTCACTTACCTGCACTTTATGTACAAATCTGTCCCTGGAAGTTAACTAAACATGACAAAACCTTGCTTGGGGGAATTTGAAAATGGTTTAAATGATTTAAAATGATTTTCACACTAAATGATCATTATTTTAATTCTAAAATAGCAAAATATCGGCAGGATTTATCTAATATCTATAATAAATACATTTGCATAAAAATAAAACAACAACAAAAATATAACATTTAAAATAAAAAGTCTTTATCTTGAAGGCTAGTCTGTGTGCATGTGTGCAAAGTGTTCGTTGCATGTGTGTGGTTGTGCCAAGAACTGCATGCCAAGACTTTAAACCAACATGCAATTATACTATTTATTTCATCATCTTTCTCCCATCTCACCTTTCTTTTGCCCTCAATGATAGAGAAGAGTGTTGTGATGGAGGGCCACTTGTTTCTAGGTGGTGGAGGCTTCTCACAGTTCCACAGCACTAAAATCTGAAACCACATTAAAACACATGAGCTGCACTGCACATTTCATGTATACATGTATTCAATGTTAGATTGCAACCTGTTTTTGTAGGTGAGGTGTGAATTATTACAGCCCACATGCAAAAAGTAATCAAAAATTCTCAACAAATCCCATTCTCATTTATTAGTCCTAAAAAGAGGCGTGAGAGCCACTAGAATAATTTACGACAAACTAGAAATTATCAAGAGACTTCTCATTTTTAGTAACTGTGTTAATTAAGGGCATAATGTTAGCTCTTGTGAAAAAACTGTGGTTTACTGTATTGAATGTGTACTTCAGATCTTTTAAAAAAACTGTAGGCATGTCATACTTTGCAATACATTTTCATTTAAATGTAAATGACATGCAATTAAGTGTTCAAAAACATTACATCAATTTTTTATGCAAAAGTTCTTTTTTTAACAAGGTAATACATGATCTGAAAATGTTTTTAATTTAGTAGTTATCTAATATAAACTGAACCGATGCAATGTCAGCTGACAATAAGTTGTTTAAAGTATAGAAACTTTAGGCAAAGGAGCAGTGACCCCTGAGGAACACAGACAGTGAAGCTAACATGATCTGTCACTTATCAGATACCGCGGCCAGACTGAGTGTATGCTAGTTTTGCACAGCCAGATGTTTGACTAGTTTTACATGATTAGTTGCTGCCCACAAACAGGGACATAATAAAAAATGATGTGTGGAAAACCATGTCAAAATTCGTGGGCATTCTAAATGAGTTTGATTCATGCATTGATAATCATTCATCTTGTTCATGATAAGATGCATTAGCCAGGGCTGCAATTATTATACCAACACTTTCCCTCCAGAAAGTAAAAGGAATAGCACATCCAAAATGGAAATCACCTATTCTCTCATATTGTTCCAAACCTATGATTTCATGTATTTGGTATGAGGTTATTATCGTTAAGTAAAGCTAAAACCATAGAAAAATAATAAATAAATAAATAAAAATTAATATTATACTTGAAATAATTGACTTGAAATAAATTTTAACATATAAAAAAGCAACATTTTTAATTTTAAATGTAAGTACTGAAACAACTAAAATTAAATAAACTAAAATGAAAAAAAATATATATATAGTCATATATAAAAAAAATTGATACAATTATTATAGTATATTAGTAAATATATATATGGCAGCTTTCTGTCATTCAGCAAGCGCTCTGTGTGTGTCAGTCTTATTTACTAGGGATGCACCGATACCACTTTTTTCAGTACTCGTCCGATACCGATACTTTTATTTTTGGTACTTGCCGATAAAGAGGACCGATCGCTATAGTTTAGAAAATGGTAATAAAATATTACAAGAACTCAGAGTTAAACTGTGTCAGAACAAATTCATCTTGATAATGTTAGATAATTTTGATAGAAAGGTATGTAATAGATTAAAATCAACCAAAAATTATTCAGACAGCTGATAGTATGACAGTATTTACACAACTATCAATACTTTGTCGGGCAACCTTTAGCCTTAATGACAGCCTGTATTCTCCTGGGCATGCTGTCACCCAGCTTCATGAAAACCTCAACTTCAACTTTTTTCCCAGACTCGGTCTGAATAATTTTTAGACCCAAATTTGTATCAATTTTACTGGTAGTCCACTATATGAAGAATTTTTGGGTGATTTGTCACAGTTTACTTTATTTTGCTATCCTCACTTACATAAATTAACAATAGTGTCCTGCACCCACTAGTAAAAAAAAAAAATATATATATCTGGTCTCTGAATAATTTTTGGTTTGACTGTATATCCTTCGGTTATTTTCACACTTAATTATGCCCATATGCCCGTATTTGACAAGTTTTTGTTACTTTCACTGTTCATTTTTTTGCTCTGTGGTACTTCTTCTTTAATTTAATCCATTGCAGCGGCTTAGTATACTGTAATCACGCGCTTTGCTGTAATAATGCAGGGGACCACTCGCTATAAATTTACTGTGATATTTTCAGAAACAGAAGTCGCGTTTTTTCATCTGAAACGTGCTGCGATTTATATTCCAAAGCCACTCATATAATGCAGAAACGCTCAAGCAAGCAAAACATGCACAACGCATGCAAGTATTTGTACTGATGCAGAATGAGAGGACAGTAGTACAGACTAGCGCATTTCACACAGGCTGTTAGTTTCACTTTCGCCAGAAAGTCGTGTATGCTTAAGGTTGAAAATAGATGATGTTTATAGTGAATGGCCCTATAAATGGTTTTATTTTTACGATTTAGTTTTAATCCAAATGCTATACAGGCAATAATACTGAATGTTTAACATTATATTCATTGCATACATATACTTCGTAGTAGACATCCTTAACTCCTTTCTGCTGTCTGTTGTTCTGTTGTCAGTGTTTCTTTGTTTGAATATGGCTCTTAACACATGCTGTGTTGTATCGGCATTTGGTATCGGGGCATTTTAACGAGTACGAGTACAGGAGACCAGTATCGGGCCCGATACTGATACCAGTATCGGTATCGGTGCATCTCTATTATTTACTGTTGCTTGTCCCGTTGCTGCAGTATCATGCCTAAATCAGTCAGCAAAAGGGCGAGATCAAGCACCGCTATAGACTGTATGTTCATCCCTGTCCTCACTACATCACTGACGGGGATACACACAGTTTATGCATGGTTTGCTTTGGAGCGAAGCACGCTGAGTCAGCTCTCAAGGGCCTTCCTGTCGGGTGCCTCTATGCAGGACATTTGTAACACTGTGGGTTGGTCCACGCAGCTCACGTTTGTGAGGTTCTATGACCTCGATGTTCATGCCACTCCCGGCTCCTCTGTTCTCTCGCCTTAGTTGTGCTCTTCCACACTAGTCAGGGATTTGGAAGTCTGGCGGCGTGGGCATACTTGTTCCCATAGCGTTTTCTGACGCAGGAACGAGACGCTGCGTCTGCCTGCCATACTTCCGGCATCCATGCGAGCGCTTCCTTCATTCTCCAGAAGCAGCTGTTTCCACCGCACATGCTTTTAAGCTTCCTGGTCTCGTGACGTCTTGCCCATTCCATTGGACTGATTACACACGTGATTCAGGACATGGTCATGCTGAAGGCGTTCCCATAGCATTTTCCGACGCAGCTTCTCGTTCCCTCCCACAGATAAAAAACCAAGAACTCTAACCAACAATGTGACCTCCAGCAAACAATCATTGGCAGTGTGAATGGTCCTTAACCTGATGCACACTTTCAAGCATAGATAATAATGGAAGCATTGTCATTGTGTCTCATTATTTGCTCTCATATTCTCACCTGCACACAGAACTTGGACTTGGCGACCGCATGGATCAGTTTGAATATGGGCTGCTGTTGGGACTGTAGAGGTGTGACCGCTTGAATGACGGCTGTAAACTCCTGAGACGGACTCTTACCTGCAGAAATCACAAACGTGGATAGCAGAAACGACTTTAGTGCTTTTGGACAGTCTGTATTTGCTGGTGAATTTCTTTGCTTTAAATCATGAAGCACATAAAAATGCAGTTTTCACACACGGCGAACGGCAGATTAGCCTTTATGAAATCAGTCTTCAGCGGCATCAGCCTCTGGTGTGTAACATCTCTCTGCATTTGTATCAGTTTGCTTTATGGCAGCCGTTCAAAGAGAGCACCTGTTTATCTTTGTTCCTCCGCAGGGATTCGCTTCATTTATCTACGTTTGCTACTGCGACTCCAGAAAGCCGACAGCTACATTAAGTCTCTATTACATCACAATAAGGGTTACTACAAAGAACAAAACAGAACAAGAGAGGATAAAACTAGTAAAATGAATTGATCAAAGCTGTGAAGCTTTTCTGGTTAGGCCGTAAAACAAAAGAGAAGTTCATAATATATCACAGTGACAGTAATTACACTTAGCCAGAACATCTATTATCCCTATTTCCTCTCTGCAGGGATTCAGACTCTACAAAACAAGAACACGCTACCACACGCACAGTGTAAAACACGTGAACAAACAGGCCACACACAGAAACAAACCACACACAAATACACAGAACTACAAACAAGCAAATTCACATGCACTTTTGGTTTGATTTTAAAACAGATTATTTGCAAGTAATGCTAATGGTCCATCCACTAATTGTGGTCACATCTGGAAGTACAGTCAGTCATAAGAGGTCATTTGGTTCACAGTTGAAACACACACACACATACACACACAAACTGGTTTCCATTTTTTGTGGGGACTCTCCATAGGCGTAATGGTT